TTTGAAAAAACATATAAAATTGTTTCACATATCAATGTTTCCAAGCATTGATGCATCTATCTGTATTCTTCTACAATGCTCCAAAGATAGGAGTGTGAACAGCACAATATCTTAAATATTTAACGCCGTCGTAAGAGCTGCTATATCTGTCTGACGGCGACAATCGCAAAAAACCAACTCTGCCTTGTCTGCTGTGTTTTCGCCTTTTGTCTTTTGTTATAGATCGAAAACAAATAATTGATATAAATTATTAAGTGAATTAGTCAATGATTGTATATTATTATATTTGTGTAGAACATTAAAATAAATCCGGATTCTTTAAACTGAAATATCAGTTACATTGCAGAGTTGGCATATATTGCATTTTGTGCAAATTGCCTTCATGTCACCTTCCTTTAAAATTTGCAATTGATTTAAAACATCAACAAGCCACAAGGAAAAGCATGGATAATGGTTAAAACATAATACAAAATATTTGCGCGATTTTGACTTAACTCTATTTTATTACTACAAATGGTAGCATTTTGGAAAGGTAAGAGTGTCAGCAATAATTTGGCGCCAATTTGATTGACTCCCATAATGGGCCTCTTTTAGACTTTTTGCGGGTTTTATAAGAAATCCGGGTCCAAAAATCAATAATTTTACTGTTGGATAGGTATTTATATTTATTTATAAGATATTTTTACCCTGATTGTGGGAAACTATTTTTTCTTGGGGACGGACCCGCGATTTTGACACGAAACTTCGGGTTCAAGACCCGGATCCACTTACCCGATATAGACAACGATACCTATGGTTTGAAAGCTTATAAATAAACATAAATACCTCCAACAGTAAAATTATTGATTTTTGGACCCGGATTTCTTATAAAAGCCTCAAAAAGTCTAAAAAAGACCCATTATGGGAGTCAATCAAATTGGCGCCAAATTATTGCTGACACTCTTGCCTTTCCAAAATGCTACCATTAGTTTTAAATCAATTGCAAATTTTAAAGGAAGGTGACAGGAAGGCAATTTGCACAAAATGCAATATATACCAACTCTGCAATGAGACTGATATTGCAGTTTAAAGAATCCGGTTTATTTAAATATTCTACACAAATATAATAATATACAATCATTGACTAATTCACTTAATAATTTATATCAAATATTTGTTTTCGATCTATAACAAAAGGAGAAAACACAGCAGACAAGGCAGAGTTGGTTTTATGCGATTGTCGCCGTCTAATATTGACAGATATAGCAGCTCTTACGACGGCGTTAAATATTTAAGATATTGTGCTGTTCACACTCCTATCTTTGGAGCATTGTAGAAGAATACAGAAAGATGCATCCATGGTACAATGATATCAAGGTAGGGCTATGATACCATATGATTTTAATTTTTTTTATTTTCTTGGCTTAATATGTCATTTTTATTTGTTTACGTATGTGTTTTCTTTTCAATAACAAAAATATTGTTCAGCAAATATTCAAATTCGGATGTTTTCAAAATGTTTATTTCAACGTATGCATCGACAAAATCTAGAGTTTTTGTAGCGAAATAATTTTTTAGAGATATATAGTACATGATTTTGAAAAGAAGTGTTGACCTTTCATTCAGTTATCGCGGTTTTAAATTATTTATTCAAATTAAATGCAACTAGTTGTTTGATTTTTTTATCGTTTTGATACTAATTCTGACATTACAAGCCAAACAGGTAGACCTCTATACTTGCAATTTTTTCAAAGTTGACCTACCGTCTCTTCATTGTACCATGGATGCATCAATGCTTGGAAACATTGATATGTGAAACAATTTTATATGTTTTTTCAAATATAAGCAGATTTTTATATGTTTTCTTATACGACGTCATTCGAAGGTTATTATAATTTGCGTTTTTCAACAATTTTTATAAATTTAAATAAGTTTTCATTCATCATATTCAATTCCGAACTTGGTTTGACAGTTCACTGTAGCAGCAGCTGTGTCGATGTGTCTGCCTATATTCTTCTACCATGCTTTGGAGTTAGAACACACGATTGTACAATGAATGGTACGTTTAGACTATAGATGATTAACTCACTGGGTTTCATAGATTCGGCGGGTTAACCCATGGTAGAAGAATACAGGTAGATGCAGCAACGCTTGGGAATATTGATATGTCAAAAAATTTTAAATGTTTTGTCAAAAATAAGTAGATTTTTATATGTATTCTTATACCGATGCAAATATGATATGTATTTTTCAACAATTTTTACAAATTTCAATAATTTTGTTGTTACAAATGACCAGGCTTAATACTTTTATTGTTGTTTTTATAAAAACAGCGTTTGTTTATTAGAGGAGAACGATGGAATCTGGCTACGTTTCGGAAAGATCCACCAATCCTCATCAGTTCCCTTGTTTTTTTTTCTGGGATATTCTCCCCAGAAGTTATTTTAAAAATAACTTCTATGGCAAATAAACTTTTTTACCCAAGTGACAAGTTTCTAAGCTCAATAGAAGAGGAACCAAATTATTTTTAATTTAACATTTTCAATTCCAAAATTGGTTTGACAATTCATTGTCCCAGCAGCTGCGTCGATGCCACTACCTGTATTCTTCTACACACGGTTTACCCATGGTAGAAAAATACCGGTTAGCTAAATCGACATAGAATTTTATGCTGATGCAGAATACATATACTCTGTGGAGTCTTAAATGTATATTTCGAAGTGACAAACTTAATATACCCGCTATACTATGGTGGAGGGCATAAAGGATAAGGAACTTACTTTTCAAAAATTGTGAAAGTTTAGCAATTTTACAATTTTACTCGTAAGGGCTCCCACTTTCATTTGGCATTCACAGTTTTCTGGACGTTTTTATATGGAGGCTTCCAGAGCCAGATTCCCGTCCTGACCACCAGTGAAATATCAGAAAATTGGAAATTTTGTTCCACCAAAAACTGACTTGGAGAACATATTATATGCCAAAATACTCGTAAGGGCTCCCACTTTCATTTGGCATTCACAGTTTTTTGGACGTTTTTATATGGAGGCTTCCAGAGGCAGATTTCTGTCCTGACCACCAGTGGAATATCAGAAAATTGGAAATTTTGTTCTACCAAAAACTGACTTGGAGAACATTTTATATGCCAAAATACTCATAAGGGCTCCTACTTTCATTTGGCATTTACATTTTTTGGACGTTTTATAAGGAGGCTTTCAAAGCCAGATTCCCGTCCTGACCACCAGTGAAATATCAGAATTTGAAAATGTTGTTGTATCATAAACTGATTTGCGATGTTATGTATGGAATTAATAACTGGAGTATAAGAATTCATTATCGAACAAAATTTGTTTATTTCATGGACATTTTCATTCATAATTTTAAAAATTATTTTTTTTTTTCAAATCGGTTCCAGGTTATTTCTCTGACGCACAGTTGAAAAAAAGTATTAAATGTGAAATTTCGATGTTCTGAGTCGCCCTGTAGTTTGGTGGAATTCGATGTTATGGATAGTTAGCAACGTTGCTAACTTCACGCAGGTAGTGTTGCTTCCTTTGTCTTAATTCTTATAATAGGGGACAAATTGGTTTGTTTTGACAAATCAGCTGATTAGTTGCAAGCTTCTGCAGAAATACCGTCTGTTTACTTTTCGAATTTTCCTCGCAAAAGAGAATAAAACTACCTTACTCTCTCAGAAAGAAGTTGCTGGACAATTCCTGCTGGAAAAGTAACCAGACAAACCTTATATTTGCCAGGAATCGCAAAATATAAACGATTTCTTTTTTTTCAGAGATCACAAGTTGTGTGTATGTGCATTTCAAAGGAGGAAATTTTAATTTTGAAAGTTGGATGTTGTCAATGAAATATTATGAAACAATTGTGTATCACATGTTTCCATGTATAATTTCTCCATGGATGTCGCCAAGTCAAAATCGTTTATTATAATATTATTTTATTTTACTTATTTTGTTAATTGCTTGGCTTAAGGTCATTAAAAAAAAACTATGTTTTTATTTTTGAATTTTTCCTTTTTATTCATCCAATATTTCGATTTCCTCCGGAAATCATCTTCAGGGATCTGTTTTACAAAAAACACAAATTACAAACTGATTTTAACAATATATAACACAATAAATAACATACATTTTTAAAGTAAAAAGCTCGTCTATTGAGTTTAAATGTTACTATCGAACTAAGTTTTCTTTCGTCGGTGTTTATGAACTAGGCTTCTGTAAATGTGAGCACAATGGTCTGTATCGGTTTTATAATACATTTACAGAAGCCTAGTTCATAAACACCGACGAAAGAAAACTTAGTTCGATAGTGACATTTAAACTCAATAGACGAGCTTTTTACTTTAAAAATGTATGTTATTTATTGTGTTATATATTGTTAAAATCAGTTTGTAATTTGTGTTTTTTGTAAAACAGATCCCTGAAGGTGATTTCCGGAGGAAATCGAAATATTGGATGAATAAAAAAGGAAAAATTCAAGAATAAAAACATAGTTTTTTTTTAATGACCTTAAGCCAAGCAATTAACAAAATAAGTAAAATAAATATAACAGGTCAACAATATACAACAACAACAAATATTATTTTATTTTGAAGGTTCCGGAAGAGAACAATTATGGAAATAGTTTAAAGTCAAAGAGATGTTGAAACAGCGTGAAACGGACCTATTGGCATGATGGTAGAAGAATACAGCTGCTAGGATAATGAACTGTCAACCCTATTTCGGAATTGAAAATGTTGAATGAAAAACTATTGAAATATTGCAAAAAATGTTGAAAAATCGATATTATAACAACCTTTGATTTGCGTCGTATAAGAAAACATATAACAATCTACTTATATTTGCAAAATGTTTTAAACATTTCACACATCAATGTTCTCAAGCGTTGAGGCATATACCTGTATTATTCTGCCATATATTTACATCCCTTCTGTGGTTTACGTCACTCTTAACGATGTACCCAACTTTTTTGCTTAAAACGTACTAAATTATGTACTTTACGTACATACATGTATTGAATCAGTTTTGATAAGCCAATTCAACGAAGTTTTTCTAACATTTTTTTCTGTGCAATCATTTTAAATAATTATTGCGCATTTGTTACCTTTGTTATTGCTAATTAGTTATACAAATAAGAGCGCTTAATTTGTTGGACATTTTTTACGAAGAAAAACTTCAAAATAATTATCTGCTCAAAATGGGAAACTCAACGTCAAACAGTAATGATGGTGGTGAAGTGCCCGAAGGTGGAGCTAACAATAACAAGAAAAGTGGGCATTCTTTAGCAGTTAATGCTGCTCTCAAGGTCGAAAATACAATGAGCCGTTCAGCTTCTGGAGCAGATGTAACCGAGAAATATTTTACACAATTGGTTCCCATTGAAAAGCTATCCGAAATTCTTAAAGAAAAATCTTTAAAACAAGGTGTACATGGAATCACATCGGAAGTGTTTGTGGTAGGTTGCGACATCATTGAATACAAAAAAATTGATTAAAAATAAGGAACAACTCTAGTTTAGTAAAAACTCTTAGATTTTTTCGAAATTTTTTCCAGAGGTAGGTATTTTTACCCTGATCCCGGGAAACTATTTTTTTCTTGGGGGACGGACCCGGGACCCCAGATTTTTGACCCAAAAGTCCGGGATCAAGACCCCGCCTGGACCCGGATCCACTTACCCGATATAGACAATATGGGTATCGATTGAAAGCTTATGGAAATACCTATCCAACAAGTGGTCACATGAAGGGGTAAGTTGTCATGGTTCGGAAGTTATAGTCAAATTATCGATTTTTTGGACCCGGATTTTTTATGACACCCCCAAAAAGTCAAAAAAGGGCCCATTATGGGGGTCAACAAAATTGTTTCCTAATTATAGCTGACACTCTTACCTTTCCAAAATGCTACAATTTGTGCTAATACCTTTTTCGGTTCCAGAGATATGGGTCTTTCCATCCGCATAACCCGATTCTAACCAGTTCATTAAAATTATGTTTTTAATGAAAAAAGTGTTTATTTCGCGTAGCAGTCGTCGGAATAACAAAAGTTTTCTAAATTTGGCACTTTTTGTAAATAGCCGGCCTTCGGCCGGGGCTTGAGGTTTTCACCTATGGGTATGTCCGACCCCGGCTAACGCGAACAAAAGGTTCATAATTTCGGCACTCTTTGTAAATAGCCGGCCTTCGGCCGGGGCTTGAGATTTTCTCCTCTGGGTATGTCCTACACCGGCTAACGCGAACCAAAGTTTTCTAAATTGGATACCTTTTGTAAGTAGCCGGCCTTCGGCCGGGGCTTGAGATTTTCTCCTCTGGGTATGTCCTAAACCGGCTAACGCGAACCAAAGTTTTCTAAATTTGACACTTTTTGTATATAGCCGGCCTTCGGCCGGAGCTTGAGATTTTCTCCTCTGGGTATGTCCCACACCGGCTAACGCGAACCAATGTTTTCTAAATTTGACACTTTTTGGAAATAGCAGGCCTTCGGCCGGGGCTTGAGATTTTCTCCTCTGGGTATGTCCCACACCGGCTAACGCGAACCAAAGTTTTCTAAATTGGATACCTTTTGTAAGTAGCCGGCCTTCGGCCGGGGCTTGAGATTTTCTCCTCTGGGTATGTCCTACACCGGCTAACGCGAATCAAAGATTTCTGAATTCTTACGCAAAATATACCTTTTTTTATTGAAAACATAGTTTTAATGAACTGGTTAGAATCGGGTTATGCGGATGGAAAGACCCATATCTCTGGACTCAGTAAAGGTATTAGCACAAATTGAACCTTTTTGGAAAGGTAGAAGTGTCAGCTATAATTTGGCATCAATTTTGTTGTCCCCCATAATGGACCATTTCTTAACTTTTTGGGGGTTTTATAAAAAATCCGGGTCCAAAAAATCGATAATTTGACTATAACTTCCGAACCGTAAGATTATTGATTTTTGGACCCGGATTTCTTATAAAAGCCTCAAAAAGTCTAAAAAAGACCCATTATGGGAGTCAATCAAATTGGCGCCAAATTATTGCTGACACTCTTACCTTTCCAAAATGCTACCATTAGTTTTAAATCAATTGCAAATTTTAAAGGAAGGTGACAGGAAGGCAATTTGCACAAAATGCAATATATACCAACTCTGCAATGAGACTGATATTGCAGTTTAAAGAATCCGGTTTTATTTAAATATTCTACACAAATATAATAATATACAATCATTGACTAATTCACTTAATAATTTATATCAAATATTTGTTTTCGATCTATAACAAAAGGAGAAAACACAGCAGACAAGGCAGAGTTGGTTTTATGCGATTGTCGCCGTCTAATATTGACAGATATAGCAGCTCTTACGACGGCGTTAAATATTTAAGATATTGTGCTGTTCACACTCCTATCTTTGGAGCATTGTAGAAGAATACAGAAAGATGCATCCATGGTACAATGATATCAAGGTAGGGCTATGATACCATATGATTTTAATTTTTTTTATTTTCTTGGCTTAATATGTCATTTTTATTTGTTTACGTATGTGTTTTCTTTTCAATAACAAAAATATTGTTCAGCAAATATTCAAATTCGGATGTTTTCAAAATGTTTATTTCAACGTATGCATCGACAAAATCTAGAGTTTTTGTAGCGAAATAATTTTTTAGAGATATATAGTACATGATTTTGAAAAGAAGTGTTGACCTTTCATTCAGTTATCGCGGTTTTAAATTATTTATTCAAATTAAATGCAACTAGTTGTTTGATTTTTTTATCGTTTTGATACTAATTCTGACATTACAAGCCAAACAGGTAGACCTCTATACTTGCAATTTTTTCAAAGTTGACCTACCGTCTCTTCATTGTACCATGGATGCATCAATGCTTGGAAACATTGATATGTGAAACAATTTTATATGTTTTTTCAAATATAAGCAGATTTTTATATGTTTTCTTATACGACGTCATTCGAAGGTTATTATAATTTGCGTTTTTCAACAATTTTTATAAATTTAAATAAGTTTTCATTCATCATATTCAATTCCGAACTTGGTTTGACAGTTCACTGTAGCAGCAGCTGTGTCGATGTGTCTGCCTATATTCTTCTACCATGCTTTGGAGTTAGAACACACGATTGTACAATGAATGGTACGTTTAGACTATAGATGATTAACTCACTGGGTTTCATAGATTCGGCGGGTTAACCCATGGTAGAAGAATACAGGTAGATGCAGCAACGCTTGGGAATATTGATATGTCAAAAAATTTTAAATGTTTTGTCAAAAATAAGTAGATTTTATATGTATTCTTATACCGATGCAAATATGATATGTATTTTTCAACAATTTTTACAAATTTCAATAATTTTGTTGTTACAAAATGACCAGGCTTAATACTTTTATTGTTGTTTTTATAAAAACAGCGTTTGTTTATTAGAGGAGAACGATGGAATCTGGCTACGTTTCGGAAAGATCCACCAATCCTCATCAGTTCCCTTGTTTTTTTTTTCTGGGATATTCTCCCCAGAAGTTATTTTAAAAATAACTTCTATGGCAAATAAACTTTTTTACCCAAGTGACAAGTTTCTAAGCTCAATAGAAGAGGAACCAAATTATTTTTAATTTAACATTTTCAATTCCAAAATTGGTTTGACAATTCATTGTCCCAGCAGCTGCGTCGATGCCACTACCTGTATTCTTCTACACACGGTTTACCCATGGTAGAAAAATACCGGTTAGCTAAATCGACATAGAATTTTATGCTGATGCAGAATACATATACTCTGTGGAGTCTTAAATGTATATTTCGAAGTGACAAACTTAATATACCCGCTATACTATGGTGGAGGGCATAAAAGGATAAGGAACTTACTTTTCAAAAATTGTGAAAGTTTAGCAATTTTACAATTTTACTCGTAAGGGCTCCCACTTTCATTTGGCATTCACAGTTTTCTGGACGTTTTTATATGGAGGCTTCCAGAGCCAGATTCCCGTCCTGACCACCAGTGAAATATCAGAAAATTGGAAATTTTGTTCCACCAAAAACTGACTTGGAGAACATATTATATGCCAAAATACTCGTAAGGGCTCCCACTTTCATTTGGCATTCACAGTTTTTTGGACGTTTTTATATGGAGGCTTCCAGAGGCAGATTTCTGTCCTGACCACCAGTGGAATATCAGAAAATTGGAAATTTTGTTCTACCAAAAACTGACTTGGAGAACATTTTATATGCCAAAATACTCATAAGGGCTCCTACTTTCATTTGGCATTTACATTTTTTGGACGTTTTTATAAGGAGGCTTTCAAAGCCAGATTCCCGTCCTGACCACCAGTGAAATATCAGAATTTGAAAATGTTGTTGTATCATAAACTGATTTGCGATGTTATGTATGGAATTAATAACTGGAGTATAAGAATTCATTATCGAACAAAATTTGTTTATTTCATGGACATTTTCATTCATAATTTTAAAAATTATTTTTTTTTTCAAATCGGTTCCAGGTTATTTCTCTGACGCACAGTTGAAAAAAAGTATTAAATGTGAAATTTCGATGTTCTGAGTCGCCCTGTAGTTTTGGTGGAATTCGATGTTATGGATAGTTAGCAACGTTGCTAACTTCACGCAGGTAGTGTTGCTTCCTTTGTCTTAATTCTTATAATAGGGGACAAATTGGTTTGTTTTGACAAATCAGCTGATTAGTTGCAAGCTTCTGCAGAAATACCGTCTGTTTACTTTTCGAATTTTCCTCGCAAAAGAGAATAAACTACCTTACTCTCTCAGAAAGAAGTTGCTGGACAATTCCTGCTGGAAAAGTAACCAGACAAACCTTATATTTGCCAGGAATCGCAAAATATAAACGATTTCTTTTTTTTCAGAGATCACAAGTTGTGTGTATGTGCATTTCAAAGGAGGAAATTTTAATTTTGAAAGTTGGATGTTGTCAATGAAATATTATGAAACAATTGTGTATCACATGTTTCCATGTATAATTTCTCCATGGATGTCGCCAAGTCAAAATCGTTTATTATAATATTATTTTATTTTACTTATTTTGTTAATTGCTTGGCTTAAGGTCATTAAAAAAAACTATGTTTTATTTTTGAATTTTTCCTTTTTTATTCATCCAATATTTCGATTTCCTCCGGAAATCATCTTCAGGGATCTGTTTTACAAAAAACACAAATTACAAACTGATTTTAACAATATATAACACAATAAATAACATACATTTTTAAAGTAAAAAGCTCGTCTATTGAGTTTAAATGTTACTATCGAACTAAGTTTTCTTTCGTCGGTGTTTATGAACTAGGCTTCTGTAAATGTGAGCACAATGGTCTGTATCGGTTTTATAATACATTTACAGAAGCCTAGTTCATAAACACCGACGAAAGAAAACTTAGTTCGATAGTGACATTTAAACTCAATAGACGAGCTTTTTACTTTAAAAATGTATGTTATTTATTGTGTTATATATTGTTAAAATCAGTTTGTAATTTGTGTTTTTTGTAAAACAGATCCCTGAAGGTGATTTCCGGAGGAAATCGAAATATTGGATGAATAAAAAAGGAAAAATTCAAAAATAAAAACATAGTTTTTTTTTAATGACCTTAAGCCAAGCAATTAACAAAATAAGTAAAATAAATATAACAGGTCAACAATATACAACAACAACAAATATTATTTTATTTTTGAAGGTTCCGGAAGAGAACAATTATGGAAATAGTTTAAAGTCAAAGAGATGTTGAAACAGCGTGAAACGGACCTATTGGCATCATGGTAGAAGAATACAGCTGCTAGGATAATGAACTGTCAACCCTATTTCGGAATTGAAAATGTTGAATGAAAAACTATTGAAATATTGCAAAAAATGTTGAAAAATCGATATTATAACAACCTTTGATTTGCGTCGTATAAGAAAACATATAACAATCTACTTATATTTGCAAAATGTTTTAAACATTTTCACACATCAATGTTCTCAAGCGTTGAGGCATATACCTGTATTATTCTGCCATATATTTACATCCCTTCTGTGGTTTACGTCACTCTTAACGATGTACCCAACTTTTTTGCTTAAAACGTACTAAATTATGTACTTTTACGTACATACATGTATTGAATCAGTTTTGATAAGCCAATTCAACGAAGTTTTTCTAACATTTTTTTCTGTGCAATCATTTTAAATAATTATTGCGCATTTGTTACCTTTGTTATTGCTAATTAGTTATACAAATAAGAGCGCTTAATTTGTTGGACATTTTTTACGAAGAAAAACTTCAAAATAATTATCTGCTCAAAATGGGAAACTCAACGTCAAACAGTAATGATGGTGGTGAAGTGCCCGAAGGTGGAGCTAACAATAACAAGAAAAGTGGGCATTCTTTAGCAGTTAATGCTGCTCTCAAGGTCGAAAATACAATGAGCCGTTCAGCTTCTGGAGCAGATGTAACCGAGAAATATTTTACACAATTGGTTCCCATTGAAAAGCTATCCGAAATTCTTAAAGAAAAATCTTTAAAACAAGGTGTACATGGAATCACATCGGAAGTGTTTGTGGTAGGTTGCGACATCATTGAATACAAAAAAATTGATTAAAAATAAGGAACAACTCTAGTTTAGTAAAAACTCTTAGATTTTTTCGAAATTTTTTCCAGAGGTAGGTATTTTTACCCTGATCCCGGGAAACTATTTTTTTCTTGGGGGACGGACCCGGGACCCCAGATTTTTGACCCAAAAGTCCGGGATCAAGACCCCGCCTGGACCCGGATCCACTTACCCGATATAGACAATATGGGTATCGATTGAAAGCTTATGGAAATACCTATCCAACAAGTGGTCACATGAAGGGGTAAGTTGTCATGGTTCGGAAGTTATAGTCAAATTATCGATTTTTTGGACCCGGATTTTTTATGAAACCCCCAAAAAGTCAAAAAAGGGCCCATTATGGGGGTCAACAAAATTGTTTCCTAATTATAGCTGACACTCTTACCTTTCCAAAATGCTACAATTTGTGCTAATACCTTTTTCGGTTCCAGAGATATGGGTCTTTCCATCCGCATAACCCGATTCTAACCAGTTCATTAAAATTATGTTTTTAATGAAAAAAGTGTTTATTTCGCGTAGCAGTCGTCGGAATAACAAAAGTTTTCTAAATTTGGCACTTTTTGTAAATAGCCGGCCTTCGGCCGGGGCTTGAGGTTTTCACCTATGGGTATGTCCGACCCCGGCTAACGCGAACAAAAGGTTCATAATTTCGGCACTCTTTGTAAATAGCCGGCCTTCGGCCGGGGCTTGAGATTTTCTCCTCTGGGTATGTCCTACACCGGCTAACGCGAACCAAAGTTTTCTAAATTGGATACCTTTTGTAAGTAGCCGGCCTTCGGCCGGGGCTTGAGATTTTCTCCTCTGGGTATGTCCTAAACCGGCTAACGCGAACCAAAGTTTTCTAAATTTGACACTTTTTGTATATAGCCGGCCTTCGGCCGGAGCTTGAGATTTTCTCCTCTGGGTATGTCCCACACCGGCTAACGCGAACCAATGTTTTCTAAATTTGACACTTTTTGGAAATAGCAGGCCTTCGGCCGGGGCTTGAGATTTTCTCCTCTGGGTATGTCCCACACCGGCTAACGCGAACCAAAGTTTTCTAAATTGGATACCTTTTGTAAGTAGCCGGCCTTCGGCCGGGGCTTGAGATTTTCTCCTCTGGGTATGTCCTACACCGGCTAACGCGAATCAAAGATTTCTGAATTCTTACGCAAAATATACCTTTTTTTATTGAAAACATAGTTTTAATGAACTGGTTAGAATCGGGTTATGCGGATGGAAAGACCCATATCTCTGGACTCAGTAAAGGTATTAGCACAAATTGAACCTTTTTGGAAAGGTAGAAGTGTCAGCTATAATTTGGCATCAATTTTGTTGTCCCCCATAATGGACCATTTCTTAACTTTTTGGGGGTTTTATAAAAAATCCGGGTCCAAAAAATCGATAATTTGACTATAACTTCCGAACCGTAAGATCTTACCCCATCATGTGACCACTTGTTGGATAGGTATTTTCATAAGCTTTCCAACGATACCCATATTGTCTATATCGGGTAAGTGGATCCGGGTCTAGTAGGGGTCTCGAACCCGGACTTTCGGGTCAAAAATCTGGGGTCCCGGGTCCGTCCCCCAAGAAAAAAATAGTTTCCCGGGATCATGGTTAAAATACCTACCACTGAAAAAATTTTCGAAAAAATTGAAGAGTTTTTACTAAACTAGAGTTAAGCCAAAAATAATTTAATACTCCTTGTTTAACCAACAATGACGTTATTCTTTGAACAGTCGCAGGTTTTTCCGCAGTATACAGATCTTGGGCAACGTCTATTCAAATTTATGCATGTGACGTCTAGAGCAACAACTAGTTACTTGGGCACTGTAGCCTTCCGCCAACAGTGTGAGCGATTCTTAGGAATAATGGACGATGCAAAGATATTGGAATGCTACATAAGAATGTATGCACAAGCAGAAAATCCCGACTTCGTAGACCGAGAAGGAGTTACTCGATTGCTCCATATATGTTACACAATCGCTATGCAGCACTCCGGTAATTCCTTACTATGTCCTTCGGTAAGTTGTTTGAATTTTAACAATAAGAATTTTCCTGCATAATCAGACTTTTAAAAATTAGATTTTTTGTACATTATTTACTATAACATTTATTCAAAGTAAATTATTTACTATAACTTTTTTGGAAAAAAACTGTACTATGAAAAGTTTCTCCCTCATGTCCAAGTATTACGAAAAGATATCGAACAACATTCAGTAAAATATAGCATGAAAACAGCGGTCTCTGTGTTAAATGCTTGTTATATGAAAAATAATTAAAGTGTGTAAAATATTGCCTGAAATCTATAAACATTTGCTGTCATGATTACTCTCCTTATTCAGTCTCAAAATATTGGGGTACCTAATAGCTGTAGACGATAACTTTTCTAGTGAAAATCACTTTGTAAAGCTTACTGCCGGAAATTTGTAAACATTTTTGCATCGGCAACAAAACCGCGGTTTTTCAAACGGGTGGTGTTACTGAATTTGAGTGTGAATTACATGAGTGAATTTGTCCATTAATGTTTGCATAGACAAATGAAAATATTGACGAAGAAATGCTCTCACCGTTTATCTTCGAAAAAGTCGGATTACCAGATGTCGCCTATATCGTTTCAGGCGTATAAGTGAAAATATTGAAGTCAGTTGAAAATTGTTCCATAATAAAAATAAATATGAAAAGTACGTGAAATATAAATAATCAAGTGAAATTCTTGAAAAACGATAAAATGTGTTTTCGAAGTCGATTAGGTCGACTGCGTTAATTAGCATGTTGAATAGGCAAAACATGCTGAGAGCCACCTGTATAATAAGGCAAGCTAACTTTTCGTTGTCTACATGTTCATTTGTCTATGGTTTTTGCAAACTCTCAATAACACAACTGTCAAAATTGTTCTTTTTACTCATATACTGGACTCTTGGGTTGTCGAACAACATTTTGTACAAAATATTGCATTTTCGTACACACCATTTCTTGATCAACGTAAGATTCTAAGTAGATTTAGCTATGCCCGTCTTTTTAATCACGTTCAAGTTCGTAAATGTACCACGCCAGTCCACGTTTTTGTATAGCTCCCTCTTTAAAATAAGTAATGGTTTTTTAAATCTTGTGCCAGAATATTGTCTATATACGGTACCTCCAAATATTTAGTAATTTGATGATTTTAGCCACATTTTTCAACAGTTTTTTAACCATATCTTGTTTACCTTAAAAGAGAGAAAATTTGTATTTACTTTATGACAACTTTGGGGTGAGTACATGTTACCGGAAAAGGAAATTATCGCATTTATCAAATTGTACAAATTAATGTACAATCGAAATGTGAATCGAAATGAAAAAAAAAAAAACGACGGTAGTCACTCGAAGTCGACTTAAATTGGAATTTACCTTATTCCTTAACGTAAGTCATACGATACTCTTATAAACTTTACAACAAGTGTTGTACAACGACTTGAAAATATAACCGAATTTTTTGGTACAAGTAATTCAAACACTCTAAAATTTGAAATAAAGAAGATGACTCAAGGGCTCATAGCTCAACAAAATAAAGAATAAAAGAAAACCATAAAACAAAACGGCAAGGCCATAATTAGCAGACGCAAAAACTACAATCATAGCATAGATGTTCAACATCATTGACCCTAAAGAGAGAACTGGCATTGGAAAAATTTCGTAAAGCCAATGGAAGTTGATTCCACAATATCAAAACCCTCACAACAAAAGACATCTCACCAATTGAGGTAGAAAATCTAGGACATACAAGTTGGTTATTACGGATGGCCTGCAAAATAAGAACCTGCAATCTGAAATCAACCCATCTGTATGAAAAACTCTTACGCCTATATATGGTCAGACAAGAAGACGGTTTTGACAATAAAATTTTGAAAACTTGAAATTTTACATTATTGTTATTGGATATTCGGTCATCAGCTGGCAAAAAATTTTGACATTTCATCTTGTTTTTTTAAATTTGCATGAATACCTTGTTATTGCGCCATGCTCTCCCCTTAATCCTGCTGACTTCCAAATTTAATATCAAAATGCATTATTGTGTATTTTTATTTTTTAATTTGCAAAAAGACCTTGTTATTGTGCTATGGCACAAAGGTTGAGTAGACTTAAGATAGGAATACATAAAGCACATATTCGGCTCGCTTAAGTCATCGGCTGGCTTCTTCGGAAATGAACAAAGGAGTCTAGGACCAAAATCGAACTAAGTCAACCTAAAACTCCTTTGTCCCTCTACGAAGAATCCAGATGATGACTTAAGCCAACCAAATAAGCGCTTTATGTATTCCCACCTTCATTTGTGTAATTTAGACAGTTGAGTTACGGAAAGTTTTGCGAACTATTAGTGGAAAAAATGTCTCCGTAAATTTGATTTATTCCATGTCGTTTCAGTAACTATGCCTAATGTAGGCGATCAAAGCTACACAAAATAACTTAAAGTAAACTCTTTGCTCTTTCTTCCTGACACTCAAATCAGTAAATAAAAATGAACCGCGATGCGTGGAGAATATTCAAAAGTCATTACCGCCCAATTCAACAAACAAATCAGTTATTATAATTTTTTCATTAATTTTTTTATTTTATTTTGTTCTATGGATCTGAATACGAACATCACAATTCTGCAAAGGAACATACGAGGTTTTATTTGCCATAAATTTGCTTTAGATATAATTAATGCAGTGCACAAACCAAGCATTATAGTTTTACTGGGTCTCTCACGGACCAAAATATGCATCTATTATTTCTTCCAAGTTACAAAGTTTATAATCACAACAAAAACTATAACTTTTCCAAGTCTGGAATATCTATTTTTGTCAAAAAATAATATTAATTGTTGCCAACGACAGCATTTTATTTGAAATTCTATTATTTCTATTATTATATGGCTCTCCTCTTCACATAATAAATGTCTATAAAGAATATGGCTTAGCTGCAACTCCAGATATAGTTAATTCTATTAACATACCACCTATGTGTCGAACAGAACACCCTCTGGGGCTCATCTGAGTCCTCTAATGGAGGTTTCATATGGGAAGAGTTTGGTGATACTCATGGTTTTGCCATCCTCAACGACGGTTCCCCTACTATTTTAAGCACTCGCAATACCTTTACAATTATAGATGTAACAATGTGCACTTTTGACTTGGCCCCTACTCGGTCCTGGAAAACATCAGCCCTACCGGACGTAGATCATTTCTATATTACAGAAGAATTTGTGCCTTATCTGAATGTAAGAAAGCCGAAAGATTGATATGGAACAAATTTCTTTAACTCTCTTGACTTAAATATGCATGTTCGTTGTTTATGGAATAAGGTAAACACCTTAAGAAATCCAAAATTGGATCAATTTTCTAGCATATTTTATTAAAATCTCACCAACCACAACGCGTTCACCTCTTTTTGAAGCTCCATAAGCTCTGATGAATCTTTGACCCTTGCATTTGCTTACCCATTAAATCATACTTTCTCTATTAGTAATCCCAATGTTAAACACAAACAACATGCTTCTTACAGAAAAAGTCGAGCTTCGTAAACTTAATGATGTTTTCCAAACTCTGAAGAGTTCCCCTCCTTCTTTGGTTAAACATAAGTTTTCAATGAAACGGAATGCTCCAACTTTAATAAAGAAAGGGATATGTAACTTGTATTATAGGTTAATACACGATGACGTCTTCCCACATGACTGGAAGATCGCAATTCTTTGCCCTGTCAAGGAAAAATCCAAATTCTTTGCAGGGACATAAACCCACCTTATTACTCCCCGTTCTTTCAAAGATTTTTGAAATACTTTTGGCAAGGCGTTTACTACATTTCTTCACAATCCAACATGCCTTCCTTCCACATCACGGTGTACATACATTGTGTCACAAGCTGGAGTGTACATTACGTGGCTTTTGACTTTCTTGTATACACCAGTATACTCACAGAACTCCATAATTTGGAGAGTACAAGGTCAAGTCATTGCATTAATGTATGTAGTAAGAGTAGATAGCTATTTTTGAAATTCTTTTACTTTGGATAACGATGTACCTCAGGGGTTCGCATATCTCAGTTGTACTTTACAATACGTACATAAATTCTATATGCAGAACTCTTGAAAACGTATCAGGAATCGATTTTGTAGGAGTATACGCTTATAACATATTTGCAATTTTAACAATAGTCTTAGAACTGCCACAGGCTTCTTCGTTCCACACCTCAAGAAGCACTTTATATAGAGGGAAATTACAATGATTTTCTACATATTTAGGAACTGTTCTCTAATAGTCTGGCCATCATATATTGATGTATAAACTCTATTCGATTGAGAGTACTTTATCTTTAGACTTAAAAGTCCACACCAGTAAAAAGTGCTATGAACAACTCTTGCTTGAAAAATTGCTGCATTAAGCCCGACATTCGAAGGAATTAAGAAATTGACAACAAACAGTTTCTTAACGATTTGCAAAACAAGATTGCCAAGCAATACGGGTATATTCACAGCGGAGCTGAGTGCTGTAAAAACCGCCATAGTCCACGCCAAACAATATATAAACACCCTAATTTGTATCAATAATTTGAGTGTCGCAAGGCCCTTCAAGAAAACAAAGCAGGAATCGGCACTGATATGGTGAAGATCCACTGTGTGATTGTAGTTTTATGGATACCATTACATTCAGGTAGTAAAGGAAATGATTTCGCTGATAAGACAAAAGAAGCATTGGTTATCGCTCATATAGCAGAAATTGTCTGTTTTCATTTCACCATATAATGTTGTAATCTTCGTCCACTTTTCTTAGACGAGTTTATTTAACAATTCCAAGGATTAGCTGCAATCCTGATTATCTAGATCCTATTGCATTTCCTAACCCGACTCAGGCTTGGTAAATGCCTAATTAACACTCGACACTATTTGTGGCGAGCTTATTATAATTGAACATGTTCTAGTAGAATGTCAATACTCTGCAATCAATTTAGGCATCGAAAAAATACTTATTTGTTCCACTTAAGAGTTTGTACTCTGAATTCGTTTGGCACTAAATATTCATAATGTTCGTTCGATCCATATTATTCGTATATGTAGCTAGAATATACTCATTAAGAAATCTATTCATAAAAGGATCGCATAAGATCTTAGTTACCCGCGCCTCATTTCAATATTTTGTAAAGTATACTTACAAATAATAAAATATTTTGTAAATAAATAATATTTTTTAGCATAAGCGTAACCATGGTACAATGAAAAATTTGACAAGTTTGCAATTTTGGTAAGCAAAGAGGCCTATCTGTATGAATTACAACGTCAAAATTACGATCAAAACAAATCAGAGGGGACTAATATACATATAGGGGGCATATCCAATTCTGAATTGCATTTGACGAAGGCATTTTATCTTTTATACCAAATAACATTGCTATATAGTGCATGATATCACTTCCAGAAGGATTATATTAAAAAAGTATATAGCTGAGCCGAGTTCCACAAAATGGAAATGTACGTCCCGAAATTCACTCTATTTGGGCTGATGTTAGTGATTATTTGCAATTTAAACCTAAAATCGCATTAAGGATATATATAGGAGCTGTATCCAAATCTTAGCCGTTCTCGATAAAATTTGGCAGAAGTATTTCTGAGCTCTATAAGATATCTGGTACCAAATACACCGAAGCGGATGAAACATATATATGGGTGATAAAGGTATATCTGAACCGATATTATCCAAATTTGATGTACTTGCTTCTAGACTGAATTCGGTCGGATGTACAACAATTTAGGAATTTTTGACAGATATTGGCCATTTGGTGCGCAATTAAGATATGGGATCTATACCCAAATCTGATCCAATCTTGATAAAATTTGGCAGAGGTATTTCCGAGCACTATAAGATATCTGGTACCAAATATCATTATTGTCGAATGCATATTACGAATGTGAGGGACTTAAAAACAAAATTGGATGAATTATATGGGAGCTATAGCTATATCTAAACTGATTTACGCCAAATTTGAAGTACTGGTTTCTAGGATGAATACAGTCGTCATTGCCAAAATTCAGTCCATTTGGGTTGATATTAGCCATTTAGTGCACAATAAACCTGATATCGGACTAAGATATATATAGGAACTATATCCTAATCTAAATCGATCTCGATAAAATTTGACAGAGGCATTTTCGAGCGGTATCTGATGTCCGGTGCCAAATATCGTTCTTGTGGAGTGCATTTTACGAATGAGAGGTACTTAAAACCCCAAATCGGATGAATAATATATATGGGAGCTATATCTATATCGGAACCCATTTTCTCCAAATTTTATGTACTTTCTTCTAGACTGAATTCGGTGGGATGTATCAAAATTCAGGTCATTAGAAAATATATTAGTCATTTGGTGCACAATTAACCCGAAATCCGTTACAATAGGTTTCGTCCTTGGGCCAAACAGATATTGTTTGGAGAATTTAATCGGATAATAAATGCGACCTGCATTTTGTTCACAAGAATATATGGACGGACGGACTGACATGCATAAATTGACTCAGAAAGTGATTCTATGAAGATCCACAAAGTACAGGCAAATGCACAAAGTCATAATGCCCTTCCCACTATGTGGTGTAGGGTATAAAAATAAAATCGATTGGTTTCAGTGCATTACCTTGATTTCATTGTTCCATGAGCGTAACGTAATATTCACCCTTATTCTATTTGTCAACGGCGTTTGTTTGCGAATCGGTATTCTAATGTTTCAGAGCCTGTAAGAGTCCACTAATTTTGCAATTTTTTCGATATTCTAAAGTGAAAATCGGTTATCGAAGCAAAAACTTTTACATTCTTGCAGTTCTGAAACAAACCTTAAGTCTCAATATTATCATTTGTGAAGATTTTCGGTATTAAGGAAATGTGACGACGACGTAGACTTGTATTGGCTTTGATTTTTTATTTATTTTCAATATAAAGAGTTACCTGACCCATAGGGCTATGGACGGGTCCTAAAACATCTATGCATGACTACTCTAAAATTAAATATAACATTCTTATTCTTAAATATCTTTATACAACATATACATTTAAAAAATTACCAAAAAGAGATGAGCAAAAATAACAAGGAATAGAATCATTAGATTAATCTGATATGCAAAGGCAATACAAAAACAAAATTTCTACCACAAGAAAACCATTAAAAGTCTAAACAATATTTTGATTAAAATGAGCATAGAATTTACGCTTATAGCATTTTAGGGAAATTAATTTCGTGAGAGAGCAATTATATACAAAAGATTTTTTTAACGGAGGAGTCAAGCGTGGTTAAGGCATTTGCGGGTTTCTTACCGATCTAGGAAACATAAAAAGATTAAAAAGAGAAGAAGGTGTCTGCATTTTAAAATTATTGTAGAAGAACAAAAAGATTTTTTGTAAGAGTTTTTAATGTTCACTTGTATTTTTTAGGTTTTTTTTTTACAAAATAAAATAAAATGGAAAAGTTCCAAAATAAAAATAAGTTCAAACCAATTTAATAAATTAGTTAAGGAGCTAAAAAATAAATAAACCAAATTAGTGTGGACGTCTGTAGCAAGTCGAAATAAGGGTGATTATACCGTGAAATAAGTGTAATTAGCTGCCTAAATTACAGTTTTGTTTCGTATTTTTCAACTATTTGAAAATGTAACGCATACACTTTGAAGGACTGCTGTTTCTGAATTTTATTGAATGCGTGCAGTATTTGTATTGTAATGGATCAGTGAACAAAACTTTTTACATTGAATAAGAAAACAAAGTGGTTTCAGTGCATTACCTTGATACATAAGAAATAAAAATTAAATCATACATCAATGAATTTCAATTATTAGCTCCCACTTACAACTCTACCTGTTCACAGAAAATTATCTGATATTGTTCATCGTTCTTGCATTTTGGCAATAAATGTCATGAACATAGAATTTGTCACAGATTCTAGTATATCCACCTTTTTTGTCCTTCTGGGGTGATTGTAAAAAATAAAAAATATAGTAAAAAACAATACTTTTCAAAATTTCAAATAATCCATTAGTTTTTCGAATTAATCTTTGATGAGAGTTTCAAATAATCTGTTAGTTTTTCTTAATTAAAAATTATACATACTTTTTTCCCTTTTCAGATTAATCGAACCTTCAGTTCTGTGACGAAATCAATTTTTTTCAGTCACGATACTTTAAGCGTTGGCTTTGTTTGTCGCTGGTTTGAACAGAATTTAATACGTTTAGTACTTTTGGTACATAAGTATTGTGTTCACACTCTTTCAACCGCATATCGTGGCCTTGAACAGGATGGACAGTCATGCGGTATAGAACTACAGACACCAGTTTTGGAACAACGTAATCCATTTTCCGATAAAAGTCAAAATGTTCAGTCCGGAGATTCCGTTGACGCCTCTTCCTCCCTAATGCCATTATCGCAAGCCTGGTTATTAGCTGGTGGATTGCCGCCATTATACTCTAAGCCACAAAAAGTAACATCACCAAGTGCCAATAAGGCCTCGGCAGCACAAATATTTATAGAAAAATTGTCTATGATGCCTTCCCATTGGACGTTATTGTACGATTCAAATGAACATGGTTTGGGTGCTAATAGGTTTCTACATCACGTCCTTGGTTATCGAGGACCAACATTGATATTAATTCACACAAAAGATGATCAAACATATTTGATCGCCTCGCCAAATGAATGGAAGGAGACACACCTTTATACAGGTGGTGACGGTTGTTGTGTTTTACAACTATGGCCGAAGTAAGTATGTCATGAAAAAAAAAAAAAAAACTTAAAAAAGCTAAACTTTAACATTTTCCGATAGATTTGTGATATTGGAAAAGAAACCTAACATTCTCTACCTAAATACATCTATTAGAGGATATCCGAAAGGTTTACGAGCCGGTGCAGATCCTAGAAAGCCAATAATAGCGGTAGACGAACATTTTGAAAACGTCGATTGCAAAGGAATTGCTGCCGTTTTACTTTCAGTTGAGGTAAGTATTTTTTTAAGACTTATTGTGCTCCCAAAGATATATACTATTGGGAATTTTTAACAAAGGATGAATTTTCGCTACTTCATTTTTATACATGCAAATGCGATGAAAATAATAGACGTTTAATGACTTCTCTTGAACGCAATAACGGAACCAGTAAAATTACTACTTCACTTAGAACCGCATACAAAAGGCAGATTTTGTATGCTGGTATAGAAAAAAGATCGCTAAATTTATAATGCACATTGGTAAAAAAATAAATGGCGTCTTAAATTGAAAATGTGATCTCAGAAGGACACACACAAATCGTTCATTTTTGTTTTAGCTTCTTCAGATTTCGTACGATTTGGTGAACTACGAATTCAGTTTAAATATGGCAACATTATATACAAACTGGTAAGATTAGAGGAATGAAAGAACGAATTAATGAGGGATCAAAACAAAACACATGATTAGAAACATATAGATGTGTAAATATTCTGTTTAAAAGAGTTTTTTGTGCCAAAAGCAACATTGAAATTTGTTCCTCAATTTCACTGAGCACATATTTGTTGAAAGGATCACCACCAGTTTTTGCATTTTCCTTTTTATTGTGACACAATTTTTTAACGTATGTGCAGTCTGACAATGTCTTTTTCCACCCATTTGAATCTTTGGTGTGTGGTGCCGAGGAATTTTGATTTTTGGTAAGCTGGGACCAACTTGTTGGCCCTTCGCTAGGTCCTGGTGGCTCTTCATAAAAACTAAAAAACAACAATTTCTAGTGCCGAATTCCTGTGCCTGTTTTGTTTTTTCTCTTTGCTTCAGCTTATTATTCGTAATACCACATCGTTTGGTTTTCACAGATGAATAATTTTTGTTTGAAGAAAAATGTGATTTGGCAACACTTTGTTAACAATTGAAAAACAATTAAAATTTGCTAATTATTTTAATAAAAGGATTAAAAAAGTAAATATAATTGTGTATTTGTCATCCGGACAACATTTTTATTGCTTAAAAGTATTTTGAGAGTATATAAAGTCGTAAGTTTCCATAAAAATACAATATCACTTGTAAAAACAAAAATGGTTTCAAATCGAAAAAATGTTGCAATTTACATTTTCTGAAGAAGCTAAATACGAAAATAAAATCACTTTCGTACCGAATTCATTCTTGTGACATGCCTGATACAAAACTCATTTATTCCCAGCAAAATTATTTGATGATCATAAGTACAAAAGATTCTTGCCTGCACATTTTCGCGCGTAATTAAATAACGATAGCAAAATATTAAAAAATTTGAAATAACACACTATCGCCTCTACTTATGCTTTTCTTGTAGAATATTTATTGTAAAAGAAATATAAACATGATCGTTTTTAAAATGCTTCTGATTTAGAAAGGGAAATTCTCTGAGAGACAAGAAAATATTTATCAAGTTTATGATCAAAGCTATAGCAATTGTTTGATGCTTTATTCGTATTAATATAACAATTATTAGATTACATACTTTAAATACATATATTTATACATTATCTAAAATCTGTCATTAATCAAATATGATGACAATGATAAAGAAACTAATTTTGTATAATTAATATCATGTGTTTGTTTTCGTATGTACTATATATGTATATGCGATTAGTTATCACCAAAAAAGCTTCCATAACAAAAACAAATTTCTGTAATGATAGATTTAAAAACAATTTTATGTTCTAGGTATGGGGTTGTGGAGATAAAACATCACGTGAAGTACAATTAGATATCAAGAAATGGCAAATTAAAGAAGCCGAACGACAACGCACTGTTAAACTCACCGCAGCAGATTGGATGGATCATCCGGATCGTTTTCTTTTAGAATTGGGTGGACGACAGAACTACAACAATTGAGTACAAATTTGTCATCAAATCTGGTTGGATCATTGGAAGAATTCCGAAAATATCGTGCCTTCAATAGTTGTTTCATAGAGAAAAGACTTCGTATTATTTGAACAGCACTATTTTGCTTAATTTATTATTCGAGCATATCTAATATAGCATCCCGTTAATGTTTTGATTTATTTAGTTATTTGGTTGTATATTTTTGTTATGTTGTTTTGAATGTGCTTCGTCAGTCTTTTTACAAAATATGACCAAGAAAAAAAATGTACTTAATTAAATTGTGCTCGTTTAGTGAAATAAAATAATTAAGGACAAAAACGAAAGAAAAATAAAGTATTATTTTTAAAATTAAAACAAAAACTAATCAATATTTTCGGAAACATTCCATTGAGGTAAAGATAATAATATGGACAAATGTTATAAAAATAACTTTTTTAAATACAAAAAAATTATTTATGTGTACATTTAGTAAAAACTACACAATATCTGGACCATTTTTAAATTCTGATTGGAATTGAATTGCTTATAGCAGTTTGTCTTACATATATAATATCTATATTTTAAAAAGAAATCTGTTGAATAATCCGAACGTTTTTAACTGGAATGAAGTAAGTTATTTACAAATTTACTTTCCACAAGGGAAGTGGAAGTATTTCTTTGACAACTCGTTGGCGGTGTATTTTCAATTTTTGCATTATACCTGTGAACACAAACTCTAAAGTCTATAAAACACATTAATATATTAGCTTCCTTGCTTGAATTTTACTGATAAAATTCCAGGAAACCGCCGGTAAACTAATTACAGGAAAGGACACTTTAGTATTTAAAATCATTTTTTATAAACATTAGTATATATATTAAGATGTATCTATTCATTGAACATATTCGTATAGACTCCTCTTATAACATAAAAGTTTCATTAATATAAAAAAGCAACATTTAACAAAAAATAAAAATGGTATATCTCTATTTCAATAATTTCACTTTTAATCAAAAATAAATAAAAAATAAACTTAAACGAAATCAATCGTGCTTTGTAGCAGTGCGTTTTGTCTTATTTTCCGACAATTTTTTAATAATGTATCATCCGAAGTTTTTTTTAATCTCGTTCAATACTTTACATTAAAAGTGTGATTAAATAAGAAAATTTGAGATTCCCCAATTAAAGAATATACAAAATTAAAGAGTTTAATTCCAGAAACTATCGTAAAAAGCACTGTTACAAAGTTTTACTGATTGTAAAGAAAATCCAACTTTTTGTCGGGCACAGGTGCGTGTTGTTGCCAAAACGGCGGTTTCATTTCGTGTTTGTCATTGTCGTTGTATTATTGTATTTAGTTTCTAAGTGATGTAAAGATGTTCTATTAAGGGTACAAACTATGTTTGCTATTGTTGGGTGGGTATTGGCCCAAAATCAGCAATTTTTTTTTGATCAGCACCACCAGGTGAGCTAAGCCAATCAGATGAGTTGTTGCTGTCGTTACTATTACTACCACCCGTCGATAGCTTAAGACTACTAGAAAGTCCAATAGAGATCGATTCGCTAGCGGATGGATTACAGTTTTGGCTGCTGCTATCAAAACGTCATCTCGATGAACCGATAAAAGATGAAAAGTCATCGCCTGACTCTGGTATAGGACTGGGAGCATGTGTTGTGGAAACATTGCGGGCTTGCAAAAAGCTTGTACCCCCAGTCACAGGCGCCCCGTAATGGGCAGGAAAGTCTCTAGCAGTTACTTCGCGTTTTTGTATGCTGATGCCTCCAAAGTTTGAGTGTGTCGCAGTAGATTGATTTTGGGTCGTTGTTATGGAAGCTTTGGATGTGGTGGGATGGTTACCTGCTAATTGGGATTGAGATGGATAATCATTCGTTATTGCAGCTTCGTAAACGGGTAACACAAGACTATCTGTAGCTCCATAGCGATTGGCTTTGGCAAGCGGTTTAGCATAGTTGGTTTGATATTTATTTCTAATATTACCTGTGTTGTCATCTGAATCAGTCACTGTAGTCAACAATTGACTAGTTCCGGCTGCATCTCCATCCAAACGTTTATTTATTAGGTACTCAGACTCACTACTTGATCTCCTTGGTCCTCGTGACAATGGCTGATAACTATTTCGTCCTTGAAAACGCCGGCTTATAGAGCTACTGACAACCCCCAAATGCTCAGTAACATCTTCTTGTATATCAGAAATGTCGATCATAGATAAAAAGGCTCGGCACCAATTATGATTTGGATTATTCCAGTATTGAGGTGAATTAATGTGGAATGGGTGATGAGGGAAACTATAAATATGAGCCACAGCTGCTATGAACATCTCAATACAGATAAGAAAATTCTACAATGGAGAGAAAAAAGAGTTGTGTTACAGTTCCGTTATTATTGAATTTCAAAGTACTTGTAACATTGAGGCTAAATTTGCATCATCCCCCAAATCAGTGGAACCAAAGATATCTTTAATGAAGCCATAGTACACTAAAACGTTGAGCATTACACCTTGGCTAAAAATACAATAACAATTAAAAAAAGAACAAACACGCAGGTCGAAACTATTTATTTAAGACTCACAAAAACGAAAAGAACACAACAGCTTTTATGCACAAAAACTTTGGAATTGGTTTCATGGGTTTCAAATCCTCCTACAAATATATTAAGATTTTTAATTAATTCGATTTAAAGGCTAGTTTAAAAGATAGTTTTACCTTGTTTGCTCTATAAATAGAACTAGACAATACATTGCAACGAACTGGGAAATGTTGTTAATGACTACTATGTACGGAAAAGCAACGTTTCCAGCAAAGGTACCCTCTCCATACACTCCGCATAGCTCACAAATTCTAGAAAGAGATAGAAATCAGTTAATTGCAAAAAAAATGTTAGAAATAAAAGAAAGTGATACATCCTATTATTCACAAGCAATTGTGGATGAATTCTAAGTCGGGTGAGTTGATATGATGCCGACGCGCTTTATCGCGAGTTTATATAAAAGGTGACCAAAATTAGGAGGCGTTGCCAAAAGTGGATGCATTTTGGTACAAGTACTTATTCTTGGCTTATTATACCGGGGTGCATACAACGGTACCTCCCGATATGCACTATTTTGTCGATTTAAGGCACATTTTCTAAGAAAATTGTTTTATGTTCGGTATTTAGAGATCTTTTTACTTTCCGTATAGTCCCCATATGACTGTACCTCAAGGTATTCGGTATTTTGAAGATTTAAGCCACATTCAACGGAAGTTCCCAATAGATATGTTTTTGGATTTTGAACCGAAATTATGGCGATTAATCGGATTCAAAGGTAAGGTGGAACTCAGTTGTTTAAATAGGTCAGTTATTGGTACTAGCAGCGACTTCTGACTGTAATGTAGAGTTATCAGGCTAATAGATAATAATGATATTCTAAAAAAGTATTCCAATTGATAAAATTGAATTCCCATTAATAAATTTTTGCTACAAGGCACTTGGTTTTCACAATTTTCACCATGGGTACGTACCAAAAAATGCCTTCCCAGAGACAAAACATTTGATTTTTAAAAATACTGTTCAAAAATAGCATTTGGGGGGGAGGGTCTCGTACGTCAATGCTACGTCGGTGCTACAATGGTACCCCACAACGCTTTGCGAAAATGTATTTATCAAAGTTATTTAAGACATGTTATCCAAAGCTTAAAAGCATAACAACGAACTGGCTGTTAAACACTTGCCACAATCAGGAAAATAGTTGAAAGTCGTGCAATTCGAAGAATACAGGTAGTGATGTATGCACCTGGATTCTTTTTCCATTATGCACTTATTAACATTAAAGTCTCAGAAATATTCAAAATTTTTTTGCAAAAATAAATTGATTTTTACATATTTTCTGGTACTATCCATTCAGGGGTTTTGTTTTTTACAAAACAGGCTTATTTAAATAATTTTTCATTCATTCCAGTTCATTGTACCACAAGTTGTATTGATAAAGCTAACCGCATTATTTTTTATCATGATTCGCATCAATAACCGACTGAGGACAACGATTCGAAACGCACATCCCGATATGTCAATAATTTTTTTGGAGGTACATAAAAAAGCTCATTGGCATAACATCTATCCAAATAAAAATCACCTTTGATTGAAAACATGCCTTAAATTTATTACAGAATGCCAAAAAGAATACAAGACTATTCAAAATTAGCTGGCCCCGTCCGCGTTGCAGGCCCGTACTTTTAGTCTTTAATGCATATTTTTTTTAAACAATAAATCACAGATCTGACTATATATCACAATTTTTATAATAAGTAATGACTCCATGCAATTTCTAAGTAGACATGAATAAATGGCAAAAATTATTAGATATTTTGAATAGCCTGATCTTATTTTTCAGCCATGGGCTTTAATTTTATAAATTTAATTCAAATGAGCTGTAGTTTGGAATTTGTATTTTTAACGTTTTGAATACCATGCTGCGTGGTATTCAGTTTTATCCACCTCATAATTTGGTGAGAATTATTTCAGAATAGTCAATGATAATTGCTCATTACCGTAAGATGGGAATTAATATTATTCTCATTTAAATTGTGAGTTAAATGACGATTAAACAAATGTTCGGTCCTGTGTTACTTTCGAATATTTGTATTTTTCTCATGTTTCTGCCACAATTTCAGTCGGAATGAGTCTCAGTTTGACATTTTGGAGTTTAGTTCATATAGACGTGCATCCCAAATCTACGTTCCTAACCAAAATTCACCTGAGGGTTACAAATTCTATAGAATATAAATTTTCTTTTCTGACCATACATTGGTTAGGAAAGTGGGCTTTTAACTGATGTGGACAATTAACTGTAAGATGGTCCTCTACCCCAGAATAGTCTTATACAATTTTTTAGCCAAATCAATTGATTAATGTGGTCAAGACCAAGATGGGCCCTACTCCGAAAATTGTAAATTGTACGCGAAGAGGTTTTGTACCCCCTTACAAACAACATTTTGCATCCTTTATATTCGGTATAATACCCTTTCCTAAGTATCAAGTATTACATAATATAATTTAGATTACTCTTCCAAAGGATATCCATACTGTGATAAGTTGAAGTTTATAAAATCAGTTTATCAGGGGTGCATGAGTCTTTATGCTTATCAGGCTACACCAATATCGAATCAAGACTATCACGTTAGAGGAAAAATATCTTGAGGTCATGACTCGACTATTGACTAAATTATGTTTCCAGGAAGTTTTAGTAACACGTCACAATCTTTGCATAAAAAGGACAATATACCAACTAAACTTCTTTATGTACATTTCGATGAACTTTAAATGCAATATAGAAACTGGAATAAATTTTCCACTGATGCGTCAAAAAATTACTCCTAGAGAACATATGGGTTTTTTGATAATGATGAGAAATAATTAATATATAAAGTTCCATCAAACTTAGAAGCCATTCATATTACTATTAAGAAAAAGAAAACTTTCCTCCAATCTGGCAGTCTTTCAGTAATAACTTTGCTTACTTATAACACGGTGAAGTCCCTGGTAATTTTGTCGCTCATAATGCACTTGGCGAGCACATTATTTTCGTAAGACTTGATCTGGTCGGACACATACATAATAAACACAAACAAAAATACATTGGCAACATAGACCACTTACAACATTATCACTACACAGATGTCATCCACTTAAGCAAATTTAAATTTGCGTAACGAACATCGGATAAAGAAAAATAAGAATATATTCGCAATTGTATATGGAATACACTATTTTAACTCATAAAAAACACTGACAACAAATGTCTTAAAGACGGTTATATTATCACCGTTAAACAATCCTTCATTTCTTTGTGTTTCAATTTTCTAGATAGATCTTCTAGTCTCCATACAACGGTACCTCCAACATTCTGAAGTTTTAGCCGGGTTCTCAACGGCATTGTTTCTAGTATGGTACCTGAAACCCACAATGATACCAACCCCAGTAGCCCCAGATAACGATACTTTTCCCTTTGTGATATATTCAAGACTTACACTGCATTTTCCAATCGATTTTTTGACATTTACGGTTTAAAATGGAAATATTGAATTCCGATACTTTTTTAAGGTTTTGTTTACTTTATTCGGCCAAACACAATAATTTGTTCTTCCTTTATAAATTAAATTACATAAATATTTTCGTGTATAGCATGGTTTTAACCGTTCTTTGCACTGTGGTGGAAATTTCCATAATACCATGCATCATACCTAATATTTTCTAAAATTAATATAAAAGAGTAAGTTCACCTAATGTTTATTCTATCTTGAAGTCTTACTAATATGCTTTGGTTTTAAAAAATAACTCCAAACAGCGAATTAGTTCAACTGAATCTAATGCTATATTTTTAGTTTATAATCCACTACTTGTTAAAGTTTCAATAAATTTATGATTTCGCTTTTAACTTTGTTTTTTTGTTATTTGAGTTTTTCTTAATTAGAAACTTGGGAGCAACTTGAGATTTGGGGCTCGGATTGAACTGACATTTTTATCACATGAAGGTATTTTTAACTTGAATACAACAAAGTAATTTTTTCGTGGGGGAAATGCCCGGTTATTCGACCCGAAGTTCGGGTACAAAATCCGAGTTTAATCTGGTTTTACAAAATCGAAATGTACAAAATGGATATCATTTGAAAGCTTTATGATCTGGTGATCTTGGCATCGTATAATCGGCATCGTTTTCTTGTTCACAACAATTTCAGCTATTTAACTTCATTTAAAACAAAAAAAGTCCTAAATAATAATCTTAGTCCCAACATACAAAAAGCTAATTTAAAATCCTGTGAAAAAAAGAATTTTCTAATTCTTCAATGCATTTTTAACATGCAAAATTTATCAAGTTTTATATTCATATAAGGTATCAAGCTAAGGACCTATGGAAGCCTATTTAAAATGTTTGTAATAAGAGGACAGAAGAAGATAGTAAATACGTTTAACACTGCAATTAAAATAAAATTTGTATCAAAAAATGTCAAGAGGAACAAGTACCAATATTTGCAATTTGTGTTTTAACTTACACCGAAATAAAAGTAGTTATAGGCCTCACAACTGTATACTGCAGTATCCCGTGCTTGCAGTTATGAATGAATTCTCGTCCCATAGCCCAGGGACGCATGCAACACATGGGAAAAAAATGATGAACTTGGGGTTTGTACTCCATTGTGGCTTCAAGATCCATTCCCAAATTCAAATAATTCAGGAGATATACCATGAAATTATAAATAACGTAAGCCTCGTAGCATTCACGCAATGAATCCACATATATGGAATGCTTTGGGAAAAATAAACCGATCCACTGCAATTATACAAAGGAAATCATTTGTTCATTTTTAGAAAAAAAATTAATTTGCAATACGCGTGTATTACTCACCGCATTCAGAGCGTATATTGGAACCATCCACAATACTCGTATAATATGTTTTTGCAAAATGGGCTTAGTAAAATGAATTACATGTTGGATGATATGCCAAATCGAAACAGGCACCGCAGATAAAACAAATAAGCCACCAATTAGAATAAGTTGATCTTTACGCGAAAATCCATCCTTCAGTGAGTTCAATATGAGCAGCGGTACAACAATTATCGCAATATACCGTAAGTAACGATAAGAAGTGGTCGTATCCAAATACGCCATTCTTCACAAAATCTCCGGAGTGAGTAGTTTTGACACATTATGTTAGCTTTAGAATTTCTGCTTTCCAACGAGCTATTGAACCTATTGGCGCTACAGTAAAAAAGGTTTTTAGTTGCGATATATTTCTTGTTTATTGATTAAAATTGTCAGCTTGCTTGTTGGCACAAATAGTCGGTCGTTGGATGTTTTTCGCACAATTTCGTGATGCTTCAATTCGTTAAATAGCAAACACTTTTGTGCGTTTAATACTTATCAATTTCTTCCGTAGCGATATTGGCATTCAAATAACACCAAATACAATGCATTTTCTTTTGTTATTAAAATCACTTTTTTGATCTTTCGTATTAAACAACGTAAGTTTTATGTTTAACAAATCGGAGTCGACCGCTATGCCTGGAAACAACGGCGTCCCACAAGTATCTTATGGTACTTTACATTTATGTTTTTGATATTGTAATGACATTTGCTCTGTTTCAGAAACAGCAATAATCTACTAGTTTTGCATTTTTTTATTTCATAAAGGAAAAGGGCTTAACTCTAGTTTATTAAAAACTCTTCAATTTTTTCCAGTGGTAGGTATTTTTACCCTGATCCCGGGAAACTATTTTTTTCTTGGGGGACGGACCTGGGACCCGATATAGACAATATAGATATCGTTGGAAAGCCTATGAAAATACCTATCCAACAAGTGGTCACATGAAGGGGTAAGATAGTTAAGGGGATAGAAGTTATAGTCAAATTATCGATTTTTGGACCCGGAATTTTATGAAACCCCCAAAAAGTAAAAAGAGGGTCCATTATGGGGGACAACAAAATTGATGCCAAATTATAGCTGACACTCTTACCTTTCCAAAATGCTACAATTTGTGCTAATACCTTTTTCGGGTCCACAGATATTGGTCTTTCCATCCGCATAACCCGATTCTAACCAGTTCATTAAAATGATGTTTTTAATAAAAAGGGTTTATTGTTGGATAGGTACTTCCATAAGCTTTCAATCAATACCCATATATCGGATAAGTGGATCCGGGTCCAGGCGGGGTCTTGATCCCGGACTTTCGGGTAAAAAATCTGGGGTCCCGGGTCCGTCCCCCAAGAAAAAACTAGTTTCCCGGGATCAGGGTAAAAATAACTACCTCTGGAAAAATTTCGAAAAAAATCGAAGAGTTTTTACTAAACTAGAGTTGTTCCAGGAAAAGTCCGTTATCGTAGTAAAAAATTTTGTTGCGACTCTAGATTATCGTCTGTTTCTGAACTGCAAGAATGTAGTAGTTTTTGCTACAATAACAGATTTTCCATTATGATATCGATGAAAATTGCAAGGACTAATAAGGTTACAATACATAAAATGCTTTTTTGACTGTCTTAAGTCATCGGCTGGCTTCTTCGGAAAAGAACAAAGGAGCATAGGGCCAAAATCGAAGTATTTTTTTTTTTTTTTGGGACGGACCCGGATATTTAATGCAAGAGTGCGGTTCCAAGACCTGAACCTACTAAACAGATATGGACAGTATTCGTATCATTTAAAAGCTAATGAAAATGGGATTTACACACACATGATGGGATTAATTAAAATGGCTCCGGAGTTGTGTCAAACCCATTTTGGTTCATGATCAATACATTCTCGTCACTTTTTTTTAAATTGTATGCAGTTTTGGATAGTAGTTGGTCGAGGCTTGACATTTTCTCCTCTGGGTATGTCCAACTCCGGCTACGCGAACTAATTTTTTTTCTAAATTTGACACTCCTTTTAAGTATCCGGCTTTCGGTCGGGGCTTGAGATTTTCTGTGTATGCCTAAATAATTACATAATTTCAATATACTGAAAATAATCAGCTTGTCCGGGTTCAAAGACACATATCTCTGGAGATAGATAATAACACATATTGTAGCTTTTTGGAAAAATTATTGTATCAACTTATACATACATGTTGTTTAAATAACCCCCATCATGTGACCCTTTCTCTCAGTAATGCCATGTTTACGTTATAACTTTTGTAGGGTTAACCAACTTTAAGAGGATTTATTTGAAGTAAAAGTAATGGATATGACAATTTTAATCCAAATCCAGTGGGTTAACCCATTTATATGTAAACGTACTGTAAAATATCATGGTAGAAGAATACTGTCACTGTCAAACCAACTTTGGAATTGAAAATGTTTAATGAAAAATTATTCAGATTTGTAAGAATGTAAAAATGAATATCATAACAACATATTCAAATCTGCTAATTTTCGAAGAAACATTTAAAAAATGTTGACATATAAATGATCCCAAGCTTTGATGCGTCTACCTCTGTTCTTTTACCATGGTAAACTTTGATGAGACAATTTTACTAGAAAAGCTATCGTACATACCATGGTAAAAGAATACAAGTGGATGCATCAACGTCTCGGAAGAAATAAGTAGATTTTACATGGTACAATGATATCAAGGTAGGGCTATGATACCATATGGTTTTAATTTTTTATTTTTTTTGGTCTAATATGTCATCTTTATTTGTTTATGTATGTGTTTTCTTTTTAATAACAAAAAATTGTTCAGAAAAAATGCAATTTCGTGTGTTTTCAAAATGTTCATTTCAACGCATGCATCGACAAAATCTAGAGTTTTTGTAGCGAAATAATCCTTTAGAGATATATAGTACATGATTTTGAAAAGAAGTGTTGACCTTTCATTCAGTTATCGCGATTTTCAATTATTTATTCAAAATAAATGCAACAAGTTATTTGATTTTTTATTGTTTTGATACTAATTCTGACATTACAAGCCAAACAGGTAGACCTCTATACTTGCAATTTTTTTTAAAGTTGACCTACCTTCTCTTCATTGTACCATGGATTTATATATGTTTTCTTATACGACGCCATTGTTATTATATGCATATTTCAACGATTTTAACGAATTTTAACAACGTTTCATTTAACATTTTAAATTTCAAAATTGCTTTGACAGTTCATTGTCCCAGCAGCTGGGTTGAAGCGACTACCTGTATTCTTCTACAATCGTATATACATCTTCTGGAAGTTTTGGAACAATGTATAATTCCAGGTAATAGAAGTATTGCCAACAAATATAAATTGCCCATGAAATTTGAAATAATAAAAACTAAGGAAAATAATATATTGAATGAAACTCGTTCTCAGAGACAAGGGATATTTGATTTGTATTCTAAGTTGTTGGATTTAAAGCTAGGAAATATGTGCCGAAAGCTGTTAGTTTACATTCATGTTAGATTTTTCAAGTGACATTAGTTTTTACCTTTTACCAACAATTGTCTTTATGGTTCTTCCTGGGGTTACAATCAAATTTTTGAAATCTTGTGTTATTTTCGACATCTCAATGTTGGGACGAGCCGAGTATGTTCAGTACATTCTCTTCTCTTTATTTAACTTGAATGCTGTATGTAAATTGTATTCAATGGTGGTGCATCTAGCTGTGGTTGTTGCAAAATTATTGTACAATAACCCGTGCTGTTAACATACATTCTTAAGGTGAGAATACATAAAATGCTTTTTATACCCTCCACCATACATAGTGTGGAGGGTATATTAAGTTCGTTATTCCGTTTGTAACTCAACGAATATTCATTTTAGACATAACAATGTATATATATTCTTGATCAGCGTAAAATTTTGCCCTGTCCGACCATCCGTCCGTCCGTCTGATAAATTCACGCTAGAGTCAAACGAATGAAGATAGGAAGCTAAAATTTTGCCCCCATTCAACGGGTCTATATGATAGCCCCAATGAAATTGTCTGAAAATAACACAAGGAATGCCTATTGAATAATTTACTCCCTGGAAAAGATTGTCTATATAAGTCTACGATATCGTATAGCCCCTTTAAAACGGTACCCCCGATATTCGATATTTTGATGATTGTAATTTTCAATAAAATTTCTGAAAATCCACATAAGTATTCCCTTCTGACTACTTCATACCCTGGAAGATTATTGTCTAATAGGTCCACTATATCGTATAGCCACCCGGTATTAGATATTTAGGGCGATTTTATTCACCGCAGTTTTTTTTCAAATGGCGTACCTAGAATTCGTAATGGGTACTATAGCCTATGATATAATGGTACATCCCAATATTCAATATTTTGATGATTTTAGCGACATCATCACTGTTGTTTCGTATTTAGAGTTCTTATGGGAACTACAGTCTGTGACAGAAAATTGTCTATGCAGGTCCAGGCCTTCGTACAGCCCCAATCAGTACCTCCCTATATTCGGTATTTTGATGATTTTAGCTACATTATTCATCGAATTTTTTTCAAGTTTCGTATTTGAATATTGCAATCGCTTGTGACAAAACTTGCCTATGCAAGTCCACGTCTTCGTATAGACCCCAATATACCGCTATATTGAGTATTTTTAAATTTTAACAGATTTTTTTGGCGAATGTTTTTTTTTTTTTGTAAATTCCAAATTAGTTCCAAATGTTGGAGGGTATTCAAAGATCGGCCCGGCCGACTTTCTGCTTTTTTACTTGTTTGTAGAGAAACAAAACAAAGACTGAACAAAATGCATTATGAAAAAATAGTTAATGTGAAAAATATGTAGAGGCGCTGCTCACAACAGAGACGTGTTAGCATAAATTCAAATTGATAATAAAAACGTAAATTTTGTATTGAAATATGAAAATAATTTTTCTTTACAAAAAAAAAAAACTATTTTGGCAGGAATTTAAATTTTTTGTGTTTGTTTCTCTTTCGAGAGGAGCTTAGTGATCTAAAATTTGAAGTGAAAAGGAAAGCCAGATAGACACTATCACACACTCACCACTATGCGATGCGTTTCGCCATTGGTTAAGCGGCTCATCAGGCATGTTTAGTGTGAATGATGGCTTACAAGGGCCGATCTGTGGAAAGTAGTATTTATTTCGAACTTATTTTATTGTGACTGAAATACTTTTTGGAAGAGGCATCTTAAAAAACGAAGGTGCATCCATCAATAAATTAGATTTTGGGTATGAAGACGGTACTTGGGAGTGCAAAGTTTAAAAAGAATAAGTTGATTATTTTGCATTTGTGAGGCTTATGAGCATACAAAATTTTCACCCTTTGTGGTGAGGTACCAGAAGCAGTGATCCGTTCTTCATACCAGATTTCGTATTGGTAGAAATAGTAGATCCGATCTTTTGTTAGTAAAAAAGACATTGAAGGTACAGGTAGAAACGGGTCATACTTGTCCCTTTTTCACAGCTGACCGAGATCTGGTGAAAATACTTAAGCGAAACCCCCTACTTGAACCCAACTTTTTTCTATTGTAGTAATTGCTTAAGTTGTTGCCCTTTGACCTGCAGTTTT